TCAGGCAATCCACTCACCTCAGCCTCCCAAAGGTGCGGGATTACAGGCTGAGCCACCGAACCCAGTTTACTCAGCTAATTTTTAAAAGATTTTGTAAGTTGGGCATAATGGTTCCTGCCTGTAATCCCAGCACTTTGAGAGGCTGAGACAAGAGGATTGCCTGAGCCCATAGGTTTGAGACCTTTTCTCTACAATAAATTAAAAAAAAAAAATCAGCTACTTGGAAGGCTGAAGGGAAAGGATCACCTGAGCCCAGCAGGTCGAGGCTGCAGTGGCCGTGAACGTGCCACTGCACTCCAACCTGAGTGAGAGAGTGAGACTCAAACTCAAATAAACAAATAAATAAATGTATATATGTACTGATAATAAAAACTTTTTTTTTTTTTTTTTTTTTGCAGAGAGGGGTCCTGCTATATTGCCCAGGCTGGTGTTACACTCCTGGTCTAAGTGGTCCTTCTCCCCTGGCCTCCCAAAGTGCTAGGATTAAGGCATGGGCTGTTGCTTCCAGCCAGTTTTATTCTTGTCTGGACTGACCCTTAGTGAGGTTAAGGAATTCACCCCAGAGTCACGCAGCAAAACTATGAACCCAGGTCAGGTGACCCTGCTCCTGATTCCCACCCATCCATCCCTCATCTTCTCCTGCTTTTGCCAGCCTGCGGGGTCATGAATGAGGAGTGGCTGAGGGGCCAGGGCCCTGGGAGGTTGAGTGTGGTGTCCAGGATCCTGGGATGGCTCTGGAGAAGAGAGGCCCTCAGTGTCATGTCTCACCATTCAGCAGCTTTTGTGTTATGGAAAGGACATTTAACACTGAGTTTATCTCCAGAGGGAGCCCATCACCCTCTCAAAAGAAACGGTCCTAAATGCCATACTTCTGAATGTGGAAATCCCAGAAAATCAGAAACCCTAAAGTCTAAAACCCCAGAAAACACAAACTTGAAAGATCAAAATCCTGAAAATATAATTCTGGAAAAAATGAATTTTTTTTTTTGAGTCAGAGTCTCACTTCTAGGCCCAGACTGGTGTGCAGTGGCACACTCACGGCCACCACAGCCTTGACCTGCTGAGCTCAGGTGATCCTTCCACCTCAGCCTTCCAAGTAGCTGGAACTATAGGCACATGCCACCATGCCCAGCTAATTTTTGTTTTGATTTATCGTAGAGATGAGGTCTTGCCAAGTTGCTTAGGCAGGTCTCAAACCCATGGGCTTAGGCAGCCTTCTCACCTTGGTCTCCCAAAGTGCTGAGATTTTAGGTGTGAGCCACCACACCTGACCTGAAAAAGTAATTTTTAAAATTCTTTTTTTTTTTTTTTTTTTTTTGAGTTGGAGTCTCACTCTGTTACCCAGACTGGAGTACAGTGGCATACTCACAGCCAGCGCAGCCTCGACCTGCTGGGCTCAGGCAATCCTTCTGCCTCAACTTTCCAAGTAGCTGGAACTACAGGCGCATACCACCACGCCCGGCTAATTTTTTGATTTATTGTAGAGATGAGGTCTCACTAAGTTGCCCAAGCCGGTCTTGAACACCAGGACTCAAGCAGTTCTCTCACCTCAGCCTCCCATAGTGCTGGAATTATAGGTGTGAGCCACCACACCTGACCAGATATTTGTATTTTAAATGGGGGATTTATTCAAGAAACATAAAAACATGATAGAACATGTCATAGGCCACTTTTCACAATAAAATAGCTAATAATGGCACATATTTCTGTAAGTATAGTTACTCAGGTATACTAATGATGATTTGCATGGGTGTAACAATTATGAACAGATAAATGATATTCATAAAGAAATAGGTGAAGCCCGGCATGATGGCTCTTGCCTGTAAATCCAGTACTTTGGGAGACCGAGGCAGGAGAATTGCTTGAGCCCAGGACTTTTTTTTTTTTTGAGTTGGAGTCTCACTCAGTCTCCTAGACTGGAGTGCAGTGGCCGCTGCTGGCCACCGCAGCCTCAACCTGCTGGGCTCCGGTGATCCTTCTGCCTCAGCCTTCTGAGTAGCTGGAAATAGGTGAAGCCTGGCATGATGGCTCTTGCCTGTAAATCCAGTACTTTGGGAGACCGAGGCAGGAGAATTGCTTGAGCCCAGGACTTTTTTTTTTTTTGAGTTGGAGTCTCACTCAGTCTCCTAGACTGG